ATGCGGGGACGCCGCCTGAAGTCTGAGCCCTGCTCTTGCAGACCGGCCCGGTGGTGGAGCAGGCTGTGCGCGGCCTTGTCCTCGTGCCCACCAAGGAGCTGGCGCGGCAGGCCCAGGCCATGATCCAGCAGCTGGCTGCCTACTGCGCCCGAGACATCCGCGTGGCCAATGTGTCAGCCGCTGAAGACTCGGCCTCTCAGAGGTGCGCGGAGGCCGGGGGCTGGAGCGGGTGGAGCTGCCCAGAGAGGAGGGTGGGTGAGGCCCCGGATGCGCCTTCTCCCTGACCCTGAGGGGTGGCCCCCCGCAGAGCTGTGCTGATGGAGAAGCCTGACATCGTGGTGGGGACCCCGTCGCGCCTATTAAACCACTTGCAGCAAGACAGCCTGAAGCTGCGGGACTCCCTGGAGCTGCTGGTGATGGACGAAGCCGACCTCCTCTTCTCCTTTGGCTTCGAGGAGGAGCTCAAGAGCCTCCTCTGGTAGGAAGAGGCGTGGGGGGGTGAGCGTGACGCTGGGGGCAGGTGGCCAGAGTCTAGCTGCCACGATGAGAGGCGCTTGGAGCTGGAGGCTAATGCAGGTCTGCTTTATTGTAGTCACTTGCCCCGGATTTATCAGGCTTTTCTGATGTCGGCTACCTTTAACGAGGATGTGCAAACACTCAAGGAGCTGGTCCTGCATAACCCAGTGAGTTCCCCGTGCACAACCTGCAGTCGCTGACGTGGGCACTCAAAGGGCTTGGTCCTCCTGCTCACTGGGGAGGACAGTTGTCACTGGTGTAGCCGCCCTGGTTCTGAATCACTAGAAGCCAATAGTTCATCAACACCCTCTCCACATCGAAAATCATTGTATCCTCCGTATGTCCCCTAGGGGTCACCTGAAGGTCTGAGCAGGGACCCCCAAGGGCAGAAAGGCTGCCTTTAGCAGCAGGGCCAAAGTTCTGTACTGATGAGACCTCGATTCCTGAGAAAGGTGTTACTATGGGGCGGGACGCTCACTGCAGTCCTGTGCTTGTGTTTCTCTGTCCTGTGCCCCAGGCACTTTGCATGTAGTGTTCTGTCTTTGCACCCACAGGGTCCTTTGAAACCTGTGCCAGCAGGAGGGAACCATGGTGCCCTGAACAAGCACATACACACTGGGTGACCAGCCAGCGGCTTGTGGGAGCGTCTCTGCCTTCTTTCCTGACCACAGGCCTGTCCCCCCAGGTGACCCTCAAGCTGCAAGAGTCCCAGCTGCCAGGGCCAGAGCAGCTCCAGCAGTTCCAGGTGGTCTGTGGCGCGGAGGAAGACAAGTTCCTGCTGCTGTACGCCCTGCTCAAGCTGTCGCTGGTGCGGGGCAAGTCCCTGCTCTTCGTCAACACCCTGGAGCGCGGCTACCGGCTGCGCCTGTTCCTGGAGCAGTTCAGCATCCCCGCCTGCGTGCTCAACGGGGAGCTGCCCCTGCGCTCCAGGTGGGCGGCGGGTCTCGGGGGGAACACGTTGAAGACGGGGACTGGGAAGGAGACCCTCTGGGTGTTCCTGTTTTTTAAGAGCCTAGAGGCCAGGCTCTGGGCTGGCAGACAGTCAGTGACCCTGGCACATCCTCTTGAGGTGCCCGCTGCTCCTCCGTCTTCAGCGAGGGGGTTGAGGCAGAGATCAAGTCGGAGGGAGTGTAAGAGGGAAACGGCAGGATGACGGTCACGGCGGTGCTGGGGCTGACCCTCCCCTTTGGGCCACAGGTGCCACATCATCTCGCAGTTTAACCAAGGCTTCTACGACTGCGTCATAGCGACGGATGCCGAAGTCCTGGGTGCCCCGGTCAAAGGCAAGCGCCAGGGCAAAGGGCCCAAGGGGAACAGGTGCGTCCACATTTTTGTCCTTCTAGCCCTCCCCAGGGAGACTGGAACCAGAGTGGGAGCCAGGCTGGGATGCTGGGCCTGGAGGAGGGGCGCGAAGGGCTCACCTGGTCCCTGGGTGATTGGAACACTGGCAAGGGGGACAGCCCAGCCAGCATTGGGTGCAGCTGTGACCTGAGGGGGAAAGGGAGCCTGCAGTCTGCCCAGTGGGTTCTTGGGTCACCTGTGAGGTGGTGAGTTCCGCTGTTGCCGCAGAGCTGGGGGCAGGGCCAGGGTGTGGCCGCCCCTCTGCCCAGCTTCTGGGACAGTTCTGGATGTGAGAAGTCTTACACCGTTAGGGCCCTGGGGCTCCACATGGGCTCAGCTCAGAGACCCCGCTGATTCAGTGAGCTGCAGAAGGCCGGTGGGAGAGCAGGGGCGAGTGTGCTGTGGTGTTTCCTGCAGGGCCTCTGATCTGGAGGCGGGCGTGGCCCGTGGCATTGACTTTCACCACGTGTGTGCCGTGCTCAACTTCGACCTCCCCCCCACCCCTGAGGCCTATGTCCATCGAGCTGGCAGGTAGGAGAGCTGGATGGCAGGCCGGGCGCCTGGACTGTGTGCACCCCCAGGACTCAGGCGAGATGGGGGCTGGGCTATCTCTTTGCAGGACGGCACGTGCCAACAACCCAGGCGTAGTCTTGACCTTTGTGTTGCCCACGGAGCAGTCCCAGCTGGGCAGGATTGAGGAGCTTCTCGGTGGAGGTAAGAGCAGGGCCTGGCTGCGCCCAAGATGCCTTGGACCCAGTGGTGGAAACGGAGCAGGGACAATAGTGTGACCGGCTGCCACGCTCCTGCTCACCATGCTTGCCCTGTGTCCCTCGCTGCATCCTCATCCTCCCTTGGCAGCAGGCACTGCCTCTTCACAGATGAGCAGGCCCAGATCCTGAGTCACACTGACTGCCTGCCCTGGGCAGAAGGGCCGAGGCCGCAAGGGGGAGACAGTGAAGAGGCTGGTGGTGTCTCAGGAGGCAGCCCTGGGAGAGGGAGCTCTGTGCGGCAGCCAGGCTGTCAGAAGAAGACAGTGGAGGATGGACGGGCAGGCTGCCCATCCCCAGGAGGTTAAGGGCGCAGGGTCCAAAGGCACCTTGGGGGAGGAGAGTAGGTGTCTGGGCAGGTCCCGAGGGTGAAGGCTGTAATGACACCCAGGACTTGGGATTTGAGCTGCCTGGCCATCGGATCCTGCCAACTGGTGTCCTGTTGGCAACACCCAGGTGTCTTGCTCTGTGTGCACGTCACATTGCAGGGAATGAGCCAGAGAGGCTGCTGCCTCATCCTGGGGAGGGGAGGGCACAGGAGGCTGCGGGTCCGCAGCCAGGACCGCTGATTGCTGCTTGTCCCCAGAGAACGGGGCCCCCGCCCTGCTTCCCTACCAGTTCCGCATGGAGGAAATCGAGGGCTTCCGCTATCGCTGCAGGGTGAGTGCCGGGCGGACAGTGGCTCCCATGGGATGGGGCATCCCGGGAGCCCAGTGTCCTGACCGCGGTATCCACCCAGGACGCCATGCGCTCGGTGACGAAACAAGCCATCCGGGAAGCAAGGCTGAAGGAGATCAAGGAGGAGCTCCTGCACTCGGAGAGGCTGAAGGTGAGGAGGCGCTCGGGGCTGAGGCCTCAGCAGATGGGGCTTTCGGTGGGAGGCGACTCTGAGAAGGACAGTTGGCGTCACAGTGACAGGCTGCCCTGCACTCCCGTGTGCCGCCGAGCGTCTCAGAAAAGGGAGCGTGTGGGACGGGGAAGCGAAAGCCCATCAGCGGCTGCCCCTGGGAGCGGGCGGTGGGACACCTCAGCCTTCAAATTCTAAACGCGCGTGACCCAGGTGGGTCCCCGTAAAGTCACAGGGAGACCAGACCCCTGCGTCTGTCTCTCTCGTCAGACGTACTTTGAGGACAACCCCAGGGACCTCCAGCTGCTGCGCCACGACCTGCCCCTGCACCCCGCTGTGGTCAAGCCTCACCTGGGCCAC